AAAAGAAAAAGAGGCAGGATATCGGTCTGTCACCAAAAAAAAAAAAAAAAAGAAAAAAAGACTGCACACACACCAATCATAACCTTGTAAGTGCAGTTAGCTCAGTAAGTACAATATTTCCAAAAAGACAACTATGGGGAGAAAAACATGAAGATAACGACCAGCTCAGACCCAGCTGGGGCTTGTGACCACGCCTACCTGCTCCTGTGTGTCCCAGGCCTTAGGCAAGTCACCCATCGTCGCCCCATTTCCTGTCTAAGCTGGGATTAGTGACGCTGCCTTCTCAGTTGCGGGGACCTAGAAGGCAGCGATGGGCTTCCGTCCCTAGGTTGCAGCCCGAAGCTGGCACGTAGTAGGATTAGGTCTGTGTCCAGCTGCCACACACACTACCTTACCAGGTGGCCTCAGGAGGCAGGAAAGGGTGATGGGCCCATTTCACAGGGGGAAGAACCGAGGCAAAGAAAGGCAGTAGAGACTCATGCTTCTGCTTTAGTAGCTCCTGCCGTGGGCTTGACATGGGAACTCTTCCCATAAGCTCTGCCCCTGCTGTCCTGGGGCACTGTTTGCCTATGGAATCCAGCTCTCCTCTTGGCCTGGTTCTCAGCAACCCTGGGAACTTTTAGAGCCTCTGGTTTATGCTAACTGCGGTTGGGTAGCTGCTGGCCAGAGCCCTAGAGAGAGAGTGTATCAGTTAGTGCTGGGTAACAGCCCCGAATGCATGGCTTCACATTTCCTTAGTATTAAAGGGCCTATGGCCTGGCCAGGCAGTACTGCTCTCAGTGTTGGGCCTGGCATGTCCTGGCTGGGCTCACTCACACATCTGTGGGCAGCTGGGAGCTTGGCTGGGAACTAGCTAAGCTAGTTGGCCTCAGCTCGGGTGACCCAGGCTCCATACGCCCTCTTACCTTCCAGTAAAGCAGCCCAGCTCGTCGTTCTCATGCTGTAGCAGGAGCCAGAGAAAGCAGGCAGAGGCCCGCATGTCCCTGGAGGCCTAAGCTTAGAGCCAGCAATGTCACTGCTGTCACCTTTTATTGGCTACAGCAAGTCATAAGACAGGCTCAGATTGAAGGATGGGGAAGTAGACTCCACTTCTAGATAAGAGCTGGGACAAAGTCACAGAGCAAAGGGCATGGTGATTCAGGGAGGAATGGGGCATCGGGGTCACTTTTGTAATTGGTCTACCACAGAGGGGAGCCCCCCTTTGAGAAGGTGAGTGGTTGGGCCTTGGTGCTTAGGGAGCCACGAACCAACCTGCTAGATGGGGCCTTCAGGGGGGCGGCCAGATGTCAGTTTAGCCTCAGGACTCACTCACCCTCCTGCAAGCCCATGTCTTGGGCAACATCGCATCCCCAGCTGCCTGCACAGAGTGGCTCTTCCAGAAAGTTTGTTGAATGACTGAGTGACCTAAGTCAGCTCCAGTGCCAGGCAGCCCAGAGGGACCATCCCAGAGCCTCCTTCTTGGGGTGCAAGCCCAGCTGGGCTTGGAGTGGGGGGTGTCTGCACTTGTGGGAGCCTCCCATGCCTGCCGGGAGCCTGAAGAGGCAGAGACCTCCTACCTCGCCCCCTCCGTGGGGACCCTTTTCCCCACACTTCTTGGTTCCTGTCGGAGCCAAGATGTGTCGCCATGGAAACTGCTTGGCAAACGCTGGCAGGCAGAGGCGGCCAACAGCAGCTTTCCTGATCGAGCTCCGGGCGCCGGCTAGAGCGACATCGCAGGACAGTGGTGTGAGCAAGCACACCTGGCTGTGGGTGTGACACGCGTGGGGACAGAAGCCAGGTGGCTGCAGGAGGGCGTGCGGGGAGGTTGGGGCGCTCCGGCGTGCGTGCTGCCACGTGTGTGCATGTGTGCATGTGCGTGTGGGTGTGTGCATGCCTGTGCGTGTACCAACGGTGCAGCCGCATCGGGGCGTGTGTGCTCTGAGTGTGATGGCCGCGTGGGCCGGTGCAGGGGGTTTGCAGGCAGGGGGGTGTCTGAGTGTCGCCGTGACCTGCAGCAGCACAGCTGCCTGGATTGAGCACCCACTGTCGGCTGGACATTGAACCAGGTGCTGACAGGACTGGCAGAGGTGGCTGCTGCCCTCGTCCCCAGCCTGCAGTCCTGGGCGAAGGCCGACGCTGAACAGGTACGTGTAAGAGTTGCCAAAGTGCATGCCAGGAGGGTCCTGGGAAGAGACAGCTGTGGGGCCCAAAGCCTAAATGTGGGGTGAGAAGCATCCAGGCCACTGGTCCAGGTGGAAGGCATGGCCCAGGCAAGGGCTGGGAGGCCAGGGAGGAAAGGACAGAGTCTGGAGCCCAGGAGAATCAGCGAGGGGCCATGGCCCTGAAGGAGGATAGGGCTTAATCTGAGTGGAGGAGGCCCAGCTGAGGGTGCAGGGTGCCAGGACAGCAGGGTGCCTTCTAGGCAGAGGGACCCTGGAGGTAGGAACTAGGGATGTGAGACCAGGGCAGACAGAGCCAGGGGGACGCAGCTGACAGCTGGAGCTGGTGAGATGTGGTCTTTGAAAGGCTTCCTCTTCGGGGCAAGTAGCTTGGAAAGGGGTGTGTGCAGGCCGAGGAGTCTGCAGCCAGCCTGGCTTGGGGGGCAGTTGAAAGCTATTTGGGAAGTTGATTAGATAGATGCTCCTTGGTGACAGTGGCACTTGGAGGAGGAGGGTAGGGCTGGCATGATGAGGATTCCTGGGATGGGAGGTGCTGAAGGAGAAGGTCTGGGTGCTTGTGGCACCCCCAGAGTTGTCTCACCAGGGGGCTGCTTCTGGAGCTCCCATAACAGGCGCTTGGCTCTCTGGGCACCTGCCTGGGTCTCTGGCCCCACAGGCTCCCTGAGCCCTGTCAGGCTGGGCAGGTGTGCAGCGCACTCAGCAGGCGCTGGAGATCCTGGCTTTTGTAGGCTTCTTCGGGCACCCCTGGGAGCCCAGACGCCCAGCAGCTTCAAACTGTGAAGCCTCCAGAGGGGGCCAGGCATGTCCTTGGCACCCCTGGCTGTTCCTTGCTGCCCAAGTTCCCCTCTGTGGCTGGGGTTGCTGGAGACCTCCAAGGAGCAGGGGCTCCCTGCTCATTTTCAGCCTGACTCCAGCTCTGGGGGTGTGGGAGGCAGAGGTGATGGCTCAGGAAGGTCTTGGCTGCTGCAGGCTGGCTCTGGCTACTTGGGCTATACCGCAGGGCCAGGGGTTCGGACACCTCGTGCTGGCCACAGAGCTGGGGCCTCTCATGCACCTTGCAGGCCTGCCCGACGAGGCCCATGCACTCACTGGGGGCTCCTTCCCAGGGCGTACCCCCCATGGATGCTGCTGGGCCTCCCTAGCAACCCCACTGGCCAAGCCTGGGACCAGGCATGTCTGAGGACTCTGAGGGCGTTTCCCAGGTCCATGGTGTGGCCTTGGGTGAGCACCCTGGCCAAATCACCAGACACCAGGCCTTTGGGACCCCTGCATCCGCCAAAACGGTGTTGACCCACAGGCACCAGGCAGCAAAGCCTTCAGATCAGAAACCTTCGAGGACCCTGAGTGCTGATTGTTTGCATCCCTGCCCACGGATGCCCCCTCATGGCCAATCCCGTCCATCTTAGAACCCCGTTTCAGAGCTGAGGATGCAGGGCTGGAGGGGGCACAGCTGAGCTTCAGGCCTGAAAAACCCAAGTCGGCCTGGCCAGCGCATGCCTGACCATGGGCACCTGGAGTGCAGAGGTACAATCATGGCTCACTGTAGCCTTGACCTCCCCAGGCTCAGATGATCCTCCCACCTCAGCCTCCCAGACAGCTGGGGCTACAGGCACATGCCACCATGCCCAGATAATTTTTAAATTTTTTTGTAGAGATGGGGGGGGGGTGGGTCTTGCTATATTGCCCAGGCTGCTCTTGAACTCCTGGGCTCAAGAGATCCACCTGACTTGGCCTCCCAAAGTGCTGGGATTATAGATGTGAGCCACCTCACCCAGCCAAGTCTTTGTTATTCTTGTTGTTAGGGTCCCACTGCAGGGCTGTGGGGAGGTCTACAGGCAACTCAGAGTCAAGACAGACCCTGACAGGGACAGAGGTTGCAGGGAGCTGCCATCGGAGATTCACTCCCATGTGCCTGGCCCGTGTGTGTGTCTTTCCCTGTAGGAGAAGCTACATGTCCGGATTCTCCCAGGGCCCCTGACCACACACAGCACAAGAGGGTAGGAAATGGGGATGGAGGGAGGAGGAAGATGGTGACAGAGAGTGAGGCTGAGAGAACAAGAGCGCCAAGACAGACAGAGAGAGATACAAACACAGGAGACAGAGAGAGAGATGGGCAGACGGCCCCTCCCCCGGCCCTCAGCCTTGGCTGAGTCCACAGGGAGCCCCAACAGTGGGGGAGGGGTCTTGGGGGAGCGGGCTAAGGGCCCCACTGTATGTACTGGGGCTCTGACTTTGTACTGAGTGTCCCCCAGCCCCAGCCACCATGGCTGTTCTCTGGAGGGAACAAGGGCTTTCAGAGCTGGGGACCCGGCGTGAATACTAATCCAGAAGCTCAAAGGGCGGCCTCACAGGCTGGGCACGGGGAGGCTGGGCCGGGGCCAGGACCAGCTGAGCCTGTCTGGGAACTGGCCCTCCTCGGCCCCCACCCTGCAGTGGGATGCTCCTGGTGTTGGGGGGCTCCTGTTCTCCCCTCAGGTCTGAGATGGTCCCCAGCTACCCCAGGACAGGGTGCGGGGGGTACTGTAGCTCTGGTGGTCGGGGCTTTGGTGTCCAGCACCAATGACACTGGGTGGGCCCCCAGCACACAGTCCCTTGAAGAGTGGCTGCCCGGGAGGTGTCAGGCCGATGGGAGGGTCCTTAGCTTTGCTTTGCGTTCCTACAGTGCTGCAATGACAGCTCCAGGAAAGCCCGGGGAAACTGAGGCATGGGCAGGGAGCCCATGTCAGGGAGGAGGCCTTGACTGTGCTCTGTGCTAGGATACCCCACGTCCCACAGGCAGTGCTGGAGTCCGGCCCTGTGCGCCCTGCCTGTGCTGGAATTCATATCCCTTTGCCTCCCACCTGGACATCACCTGCTGCACCCAGGAGACCTCAGTGCCAGGCTGAGGAAACCCCTGCTTGGGCCATGCACGGCTCCCCTGCTGTGTTCCAAGCCCCTTTACCCCCAAGCCCCTGGCCCTCAGCAGCCCCGTCCCTGGAGGCGGCCTCATCTCTTCTTCAGCTTCTCTGGTGCTGCCCCACTTCCTGCACCCATCTTTGCCCAGAGCCCTGCACCAATTCTGACAGGCAGGCCTCTGCTCACTCGGTTCCTTCCACCTGGCACACCCCATCTCTGCCCTCGACCCGGGCTCATCTTGCTGTGCAGCGAAGCCAGCCTCAGCTCCATCCTCCTCTGTCCCCACAGCGCTATCTGCCCACACCCTTGCCTGCTGGCTTTGGAGCAGGGCCGAGCTGCAGAGAGGCCAAGTCCCTGTCCTGCGGCCCAGCGCCCGGCACACACAAGGGCTCGTGTTTGCTGAGTGAGCAGCTGCCGTTTCTCAGGACTCTGTGTGCCAAGCACCCTGCGAGAGTGCTTCTCATCCTTGTAAAACCTGTGTGAAGCATTTTCCTCTTTTCCAATGTGGATGAGTTTCCTGTGGCTGCTGTGACAAATGACCACAATGGCATGCCTTCAAACGGCACACATTTACTGTCAGTTCTGGAGGGCAGAGATCCAAAGTCGAGGCTGGGGCAGGGCCAAACCTCCCCTGAGGGCTCCAGGGGAGGGTCCTTCCCGCCTCTTCCTGGAGCTTCTGCGGGCTCCAGGTGTCCCTGGCTTGTGGCTGCAGCACTCTCATCTCCACCTTCTTCTGTGTCTCTGTGTCTTCTACTTTCTACCTGTTTTTAAAATTTTTTGTAGAGATGGGGGTCCCACTATGTTGCCCAGGCTGTTCGCCAACTCCTGGGCCCAGGTGATCCTCCTACCTTGGCTTCCCAAAGTGTTGGAGGTGACAGGCCTGAGCCACCTCGCCCAGCCTTTTTCTCTCTTTTTAAAAAATTGTTGGCTGGGTGCAGTGGCTCATGCCCGTAATCCCAGCACTTTGGGAGGCTGAGGCGGGTGGGTAACTTGAGGTCAGGAGTTCAAGACCAGCCTGGCCAACACAGTGAAACCCCATCTCTACTAAAAATACAAAAATTAGCCGGGTGTAGTGGCACGTGCCTGTAATCCCAGCTATTTGGGAGCCTGAGGCAAGAAAATCACTTGAAACTGGAAGGCAGAGGTTGCAATGAGCCGAGATCACGTGACTGCATTCCAGCCTGGGTGAAAGAGTAAGACTCTGTCTCAAAAAAAAAACCAAATTGTTATTATTTTTTACATTGTCTTGTTTCTCCAATGGGGAGCCTCCTTCTGTCTCTTATAAAGTCACTTGCCATTGGATTTAGGGCCCCCCGACCCAGGGTGATCTCCTCTATATCTGCAAAAACTCGGTTTCCAAATAAGCTTCCATTCTGAGGGTGCAAGTGGGCACATCTTTTGGAAGCCACTATTTAACCCACTCTGGGGAAACTGAGGCAGGGGAGGACGCTGCTTCCCCAGGCCACACAGCTCTCTTTTGACCTCAGGTCGGCCCCAGTCAGAGGATGGTGACGAGGATGAAGGTGAGAGCGGGCCCCTTTGTCCATCACTGAGAGGACAGGGGTCCCACATCACTGCCTCTTTATAGAATAGACTCTGATGAGGTGGCTTCAACCAGAGAAGGGTGATCAGTCTGCTGGCGTGGAGACCAATGTGTCCCGGGTACAGGGTGGCTGGGTGGACAGGGTGTTGGCTGCCTGAAGCCTTGGCTGGCGGGGACCGGGTCATGAGCAGGCTGCCTCTGTGTTCCAGGGGTCCCGGCACCGGCCCCAGTGCCACCCATCTTGGGGCACCTAGGAGGGGCCCTGCTCATTTGGGCTTCCAATCTCCCAGGTTGACCCAACACACAGAGGAGGAACGGTCACTCCAGGCTCAACACAGAATATCTTTTCCAGTGGATCCCACCCCTGTAGCTATTCAGAGGGGTGTGGGAGGATATTCCACGACTACTTTGTTGTTGTTGTTGTTGTTTGAGATGGAGTCTCACTCTGTCACCCAGGCTGGAGTGCAATGGTGTGATCTCAGCTTACTACAACCTCCACCTCCCAGGTTCAAGTGATTCTCCTGCC